GATTGAGAAGTCACAGCTGCGATGGCTTGGGCATGTGTTGCGAATGCCTCCAGAAAGGAAGGCTAAGGAGATGTTTGTTGCAAATCCGACCGGCAGAAGGCCAAGATTAACCTGGTGCAATTGTATGCAAGGAGTCTGTTTCAGACTTCAGTTGTCTTCTGCCGAAGCTGAGACTCTGGTACAGGATCGGGAACGTTGGAAGCTCTGTTTGACGCGTCTGCATCCGTGACCTGAAAGGAGAAGCGACAATGGAAGATAGAGAAGTTGAAGTGCTCTTTCAAGAGCACTGTTATTTCCTCGCAATTTTTGCCAATGTAATTACGTCTCTGGTGCCAAAGTTACATTAGCATTTATAAACATGGAAACAACCAAATGAGTGTTCAGTGAAGTATTTTAGAATGTACCTCCTTGTTCATCAATTTAGACATTACGTATTTGATTGATAGACGCGCCAACATTCATCAAAGTTTACTTGATGGACAACATTGGGTAAGGATAAAAGTGCATTTATAACACTACGGTGTAATCATTACAGAAAAATATAGCAAGGATGTAATTTTTGAAAACTCACGATGTTCTCCGATACGCTACGGAAGAACGGTAAAGAAATACAAGATTTTCGCACTGAAAGTAGAGCAAGACTAAATTAATTAAAATAAAGAAAGTTAAAACATCATTTATTCTACTAAGCAGAAGAGTATATAAGATTCACTTTTTCACAAGTCGTTTTACTGCTAGTTTTCAACCAGAGACAAATGAAAAACGATAAAAAAATACTGAGCAGAAAAACATCCATAGAATTTCATTCGACAGAACAATCCAAAAATAGACACCACTCAGCATAAGCGTAACGTAGACGCAACAGTCAACGAATAGCGGATCAGCCTGACGGACTGTAGTCTGCGTTGTGCATTTCCGGCGTGTAAGTGAACAGGACAAGCATCACCCAGGCATGAAGGATCACCTAAAGATAAAAGTATGCAGATGGTAACTGGCGCCGTTCAAAATCCACTGTTCGTTCTAGAACTTCAACGTTGATCGTATGAAAGAGAGTAGAAAACGACCATTTTCAATTGCGGCAGCAAAGTTAAACAGGCATATATAGGCCATTAACAAACAGCCAACCGATAAGAAAATTAGTCACTGTAAAGACACAAAAGAACACTCGATATCAATAATCAAAATACAGGTAACCCGTGAAAGAAAATGATAGAGCAATGCATCTTATCACAAACATGAAAGAAGATTTTTTACCTGTTACGAAGCCATACATCGAGTCTGAATGCAGATATTCCAGCCTGTTTGCCACATATATGTACTTTTTCCGCGTTATCTTTTCCCCATTGTCCTTCTCAACGAATAAAAGGTCCAGTAGTACGGCTACATCATAACGTCGTTCACCATTACCAAAATATTGAGACCAATTCATTTAACATTCATGTATCACTTCCCCAAATTTGCACGACATAAAATCGTCACTGCTTTGTTTTAGGGTCTCTCATGTGACAGCCTCTTATTCTAAAGACTCTCTGGTCAAACCATGTTCAGTTCATACTGCAACATGTCCTGCCAATTGTTGTTCAAACTTAATTTGTCTACCTATTAGTGAAACTTCGCCTAAAATCAGCCCTGTCGCATCAACGTCGCATGGTTGAAACACACAAGCTGCTCGGTGTTGGCAGCCTACAGTATGACGAAGTACCGCGGCTTGCCTATCATAACAGGGTACTAAGTTATTTCAATGCCAGCCCCTTAAGTGCCCAGTCAGAAAGTGACAACGTCGATGAAGCTTATAAAGACTTAAAAGAAGCCGTCATTTCCTCGGCGAAAGACTGCGAACGGGCCAGGAAGAGAATAGCCAAACTGCCCAAGAACAGGGAGGGGGCACTAGCCCTCAGACAGTAATGGAATCAGGCAAAAAAGAATGCTTGTCACACTATACTGCACCCTCGAAAGCAGCTGATCATTATTTTGTTCACGCAGTAAACGATAACACAGGTGAAACAGGAAACTTTGGCCGGGGAGGGGCATCAGGAAGATCGGCAAGGCACTCAGAATGGGTGACTGGCAAACACTGTTCAAACAAACAGCTGTCCAGAAAGGAGGGTACCCAATCTGTCCTTATCCTATGCGTTACAAATGTTAATTCGCAGGTCAGAATAAACGCCTCAAACGAAGGGCTGAACAATTCCAGCGGCTCCACAAGAGCTGTCCTCCAGATCTGTCATTTCTGATCGCTCATTGTCGGCCAATATTAGACGTTAGTTCCGATCCACTCACAAAACTAGAAATCCGCCAGTTACAACACGTCATGGTATAGGCCTGCAAGGTGGGTAAAATTATTCAGGAATTAACTAAGTATGGATAAACGGAAATAACGAAAAAACTCCATGCACCATTTCAGAAAATGTGGAGGTGCAAACGTTTCCAAGGAAAACGGAAGTGAGCAGTAATTGTCTCTATATTTAAAGGCAGTCAGATGACTGAATGTTCCAGTTACCGTTGTACAACGCGTAGTATCGCGGTACCGTCAACTAACGGGGAAGTTTTCCCCAAGATTATTCTGCAAAAGAGGAGACATGCAGCTGATGCGAGACTTGGCCAACTTTATGCAGTCTTCCGGCTTGGGCACTTCTGACCCGACCATTTTTCACTCAGCATGAACTTTCAATTTTCATTTGACAACGCCGAAATCTCGGTTGCCTTGGTTTGCTAGTTCCCTCAGCCTTAATGCTGCATCTGATTCACTACATTGTCCGATGATGTGGAAAATTCTGAAATACTATGGGATATCCAAACACATCGTTTCCATTTTGGAAGAGATGTACGCAGGAATTATGTCTGCCGTCAAAGATGATGGAGAGGTGAGTGCATCTCTCTTAACTGCGTAGTTCATCAGGGAGATGTGCCATTCAGTAACCTTCGTATCTTCTCCAAAACAGTGCTGATTCTGGCAAAAACGAAGGTCCTAATTTAAGGGGAAGGCGCAGTTCAAGATATTCGGCTACATGTCCGCAGATGATATTGCCTTGGTCAGTAGTACGGAAAGCGAACTGGGCCACCTGACGGTTTGCGCACGCAACACAGCACCAAAGCTGGCTTCTTCCTTAATGACCAGGAAGCCAGAAGTTATGAGGAAACCCAGCACAGTTGATCTACAAGCAGAACAGAGAGGTGAAGCCCTTCGGGAGGTTGACCAGTTCAAGTCTGTCCGCTTCGAAATCTCCAGCGATCGCATCATTCAGCCAGAGTGAAATAGAAATATCGCGCTAAAGTCGAGTGTTTTGGGAACCACTCCAATACTTTGGCTGAGAACCCACGATCATCCATTTGCCCATTGTCTGTCATATCAGCGTTGCTGTACGACAAGAAAACAGTTATTCTAATGAAGGAACAAGAGCAACGGTTAAACTGCATGCAGCTGCGCTAGCTTCGACGCATAATGATTTTTAAATGGTAGGAGCGTGTAAGGAATAACTCTATTCTCTTCCAGGTACAGGTGTCATCAGTAGATGTGGAGATAAGAAATGGAGTTTGGTCCTGTTAGACATCTGGAGGAACCTGTACTGAGAAGGAGTTTTTCTCGTGGGAACCAAAAGACGACAAACGCAGACCGGGAGGCCAGCATTCAACAAGGAGGAATAAGGTAGGGGCAGATCCGCTTTCGGAGAAGAATATTTCTCTCTGCGATGCAGTAACCGATGTCATATAGTAAGTGTTGAAAAGATGCATATACAACTTACGTCACAAAGAGATGTTCTGTTTATGCAACCGGATCAAGGTGATGATCCAAAGAAACATTCACATAGATCCATTAACTAGATATCGTTTGAACACTTTTTACATAGCGCTGCATCACAAATCTTTCAAATCTCGAGAGTAAGTGAGGACTTCCATCAATAGAGCTGCTCTAATCGTTGTGGGTAGATTCATGGATCAGGATATTCGTGAACCTATGACGACAGACGGTGCAGCTGATTCCACGGACTGAGAAAAATGCTAGAGATGCTGAACCTCAGATCAGAAACCCAGACGCTGGTCCCCGCACGGTGCATGTAAGCGCCTCCAGTGCATGACCCTTAGACACTACCTCTGTGGAAAAAAATATGCGGCCATAAGAAGACAGCTGCCACTGAAATCGTTCTCTTGTTGACAGAGTTTAACGCAAGTAATGGACAACTAGATAAAGAAAACTGATTAGAAGAAAGAGCGATTTATACATGTGAGTTAGCGGAGTTAAATCTTTGGCTTTTATTAAGTAAACGTCGAGAAAGGTGTCGTTAATCGTTGGTTTTCACAGTTATAAACTGTAAAGACATGACTCATGAGAGTTTTATGAAGCATTTATTTTGCAATTTGTTTGATACAATATTATGTAAGCACGTTTTGTACGATACAACGCAGAAAGTCAGCATGATAACAAGACAGAGTATATTCAATTAGAGATTAAAATTGAGCGCAAAACCCCTTAAACAATTGAAAATCTGCATATAGCCGTTAACGTGCTTGGATTCTTCGAAGTGCTGACTAGAATATGAACCAACTAAACCGACAATATGCTGAGTTGAATCAGCGGATCTGTTCTTTGGTAGCGGTTGAGGTTGGCCAGCAATGCCCTGCTTGACCTTAATTTTGTTTAGGCTCTATTTCGCAGGTCAAGGACGAACTTGCATATTTAAGGATGGTATGAATCAATAACCTTGAAAGTTCTCGATGTCAACCCTCTGTTGCATTACTGGCTTTTGGTAGGTCCTCATGGATGGTGTTAAAGCGAATCCAAACTGCTAAAGAGAAGCGTGGTTGTACCCTTGCGTAAAGCCGATCTGCACGACCAATCTACGAAACCACCGATCTTCGAAGTAGTCCATCAACGGTTGCTCTTCGGCCGGATAATCGCCAATTTCGGAAACGACCTCACCTGTCGTTCTATGTGCTGCGGTAGCGACAGTGCAGCGAGCATATAGGTTTTTAAGGTGAAGGAAACGTTCGCTTGGTATCCTTGTTAGAAACAGTTCGTCCAAATGTTTAGGTAGTTGCACTGGGCGATGTGAGAATAACACCCGCGATGCATGACATTTGAAAAAATGCTCTGAAACCTGCTTACAGCCACATGCCCGAAATTGGCCAGTATTCACTTGGATATAAAACTTGTTTCCAATGTTGCAGGGCTACCAGGTATTCGCGTGAAACTCGCCTCCTTTCTGTCTGGCAGCAAGGCAAATATCGATAACATGACGTTGGAGTACTGTATCCGGTGGATTGTTTACGGCTGCTGAAACAACTGAGGAACAGCTTTAGATGTCCTGTCGGCGTACCAGACAATCAATATTCGCAAATATTCATTGCAGAAAAAATTACCATGTGGTCGTCTGCGGATCCACCGTCGTGCTCAAGGATTCTCGCTAGCAAACGTCTGCTTGCACGTTACCGGCAGTAACAGTTCATCAGTTCTTTACGCAAGTTGGATTTGTAAGTCTGACGCACGACTCGACTGTGTGCCGATTTACAGTCTGCTACG